AAGAAGAATTTAACACTTTTGAAGATAATAACAGCTCATTGTCGAAACACAGTTTACCGAGTCACGCTACCCACAATAAACCTGTACTCTGGAATAAGCGTCAATGACTACGGAAAACCTTAATTAGACTCTAATTTAAGCGTCAGGAATCATTGAAATGTTCGAAAAATTATGCCTTAATTTAAAATTAGATGGTATATCTTTTTCTGAAATGTGGTGGCTGTTTGGTTTGTGAAAGTTTTGGGTGCGGCTTATATTGCAGACTTTTCTCTCGGATCAAAACATGTAAATTTCAACATGAAACAATGTCTCAAGTTAGGGGTGTGACTTCTATTAATGCTGCGACCTCAAATATGATTTTTACGGTAGTATATTGCTTACAGTGGACGCCGCTCAAATTTCAACCCCACCACGAACATTGAACGGGCTGTCATCCGGGTACTTTGGGGAACGCCCTCTATCAAATTTAGTGAGAAAAATAGTAACTCTGGAATTGGCCATTGTTGATCAATCTTGTTGGTGCACCATGCAATCCAAATATTACTGTTTTTTTCTGAACTGCAGAACTAAATATTGTTTTTGCTTATGACTAATTTAAGATGGTTTATGTTAGGTTAGGTTCCTAAAATTGTGTAATTTATGCATTCTTCATCTTCACATGGTAGCCCTGATCACTGTGTTACTGTGTAGTATAGAATGCTATAATAAATGCTTCTCTCTCCACCGAGATTTCTCAATATGAGATCTCTTGACTAAATAGGGAAGGACATGCCTAGAACGCCTAGACCAGGGGTCGAAATACTCTGGTGCACACTGCACTATGCACATAGATTATTAGCTAGTGCAAGTAAACTCAAAATATAATGTGCACGCTGTGCATGTAGAAATTAACACATTTTCTCATTATATTCATTATATTCCTAAATTAAGTTCAACCAACATTGTAAGACAACTAAAAAATCAATCATCAATCGATAAACCGTAAATGTTATTTAAACTTTAAAAGTGGTGCATTTCACAACAAGTTTGTGCAGGTAAATTTCAAATTCAACATGCACACTGTGCATGCAGGGAAAAAATTCTATTTCAATCCCTGTAGACACAAACCTACAAGAAATATTAACAATTCATGTAGTTCAGAAATATTGAAAATTGTCAAAAGTAACTGGTATTATTTCTGTAGCATACTGTGAACTCGTTAATTTTTCCCTTTGTTTTAATTTCCAATCTTCAGCTGCTCATTCAGGATTTATAAAAATTATTTCAATATAAGGTGGAGATTTTTTATAAAATAAATGTGAAACTCCCCCCCCCCCTCCCGCTTCATTCTGAATAAAATAATTTGTTAAACACTTCATCAGCCAGATTAAATGTTGTTGCTTGTTCTGAAACTGATTTCCATTCTAGCTCAATTTCTATGATATTCATAAGTCCCATTTCATGTTTTCGAAATAAAATTGGAATTGATCGTTTTCAATCTTCAGTTGCATTTTTAACCGGCTTCTGTTTGCAAAACATAATTACTTAATTTTGTTTAATTGACCCTGTTTGTTATTGTCAGCAATGTTGAAAAACTTGATTGATCACATGATTCTCTTGAGAAAGTTTACAAGAAGTCGGGTACTTTATGTGAATTGTGTGTACTTCATTGTTAGAAATTTCTCATGGCATTGCAAGTTGGCTGATCAGACTTCAGGCACTTCATTGGAGATTTTGCAATTTTTGAAAATAAAATCGAGAACACTTTCTGGATGAGACACTGATGTATTCATGATTTTACCAGCAAATACATTGTCTATATATTGTACTCCAGGAGTTTAATTTTGTGTACATATTTATTCACAGTCAATTCAGCTGATGTTTTAAAATCATTGGAGGCTGCTCTGAAAAAAGACGACAGTCTTCTCAGGTATGTGCCCAATCTGTTTTTTGATTCACATTAGAAATATTCATTCTACCATATTCTGGATCATTAGAATTATACTCAGTATTTATGTTGTATTATGCACCATGATTGATGAATTTGCTTTATGAAAATTATATCTCATGAAAGTGTACATAAACAATTGACTTAATTGCTATGTTCACACGACAGCATTCTATCGAAGCCGAACTACTGCTCCTCCCACGGATTAACAGGAGATTTTCTCCAATGCGTTCATACGAGAGCCAAGTTCTGCCAGAGTTCGATTCAGTTCGATCAGAGTCGAACAGAACAGTGCCCTTGAATAATTAGTGACTGAAAACTATTTTAGTGTCGTCCTTGTGTTTTTTCTTTACATCGCATGGTGCTGTTGAGCTAGGAGAAGAATGAGCGATCGGTTCTACGATTTTTATCTTTAGTGTCTTTAAAAAGTTTACGTCCAGTCGTTCTTTCAAGTTTTTGTCGCACGCCATTTTTTGTTTCCCGTTGAGCTATTAATCTATCACAATGATTCGTTATTATATATTAGGACGCGTACCTCTTATTCAAGCTGGAAATTGTGTGAAATTATGAAAGATGTTGTCTTGAAATGAGAGGTTACTCGAAGAAAACGATTGAGGGCGTGATTTCGGCTCCGAAAGTTGGGCCCTGATGCGTTTACATGATCGGAGCCATGATGGGACTCAACCCTATCGGAGTTCAACCCCGAGGGTTTAGTGGAGCCGAACTTGGCTCGAGCCGTTGGGCTCCGATAAAATGTTGTCGTGTGAATGTAGCAATTTTAACTGTATTTAAACTTTGTATTTGATGCTTTTCCCATGCTCTATTTACGAAGTAAATTACAATACCATGGGTAACAGTGACTAAAACTAAAATTTGTTCTGTGTTAAACTATTTTTGAATATTACATTTACATTCATCATGAATTTGTACCTCCATAAAGAACCAGGATGCATGATCTTTAGAAGGTCATGTTTATTAGCCCTATTGCAGAAAGGTTTACTCCATGTACTTAATTTACTGATGCCTATTTACGTTTGTAGTTCAGTGTATGCGTTACACATAGCATCGCAGTTATCAGCAGAGTCTGATGTGAGCTTGTATGTAGATTCTGTGGAGGATCTATTAGCACAGGCGGATGAAATTGACGAGTCTTACATGCAGGTGAGTGTACACAATCTGTATTTATTGTTTTGGTTTGATTTTGACAATCTGCTTTAATGTGCATGATGTTGTCATTTTCATGTGTTAGTTCTTGGGGATAATAACCCAGTTTGTAAATAAGTGTCTGCTATGCATAGATTGAAACTTGTAAATATCCCCTATGCCACAGTTAAGAGCATTCTTGGCTTGAATCAAGGAACAAAGTTAGCACTGTGAAGTCTCTGATCATTGATAGTAGAGTGGTTGACACAAAAAGAATCTGGGATGAGAAGGCAAAATCCATTGAATGAGAATCTCACTGTAAGTTTAGTAGGGGAATCTTTGTTAAAATCTGTATGTATTTGTGATACCAAATTCCATATTAAACTGCTATTGTCTATGAACATGATCACACCGCTCTGCCACCTAGTCTCAAACATGGAATATGGTTTCTATGGCATATGTCAGCACTTGCAATTTTCATGTAAAATTATTTTTCAGAACTTCAAAACTAAATTACAAATACCTGAATATTTTAGTTGTATGTTTTTACTACTACATAGAGGAACCTGTATGCTAGTTTTCTAAAGTCTTTTAATTAATGCATTTTAACTCTTCACATGGTAGCCTAGATTAGTGAGTTACTGTGTAGTATAGAATGCTATAATAAATGCTTCTCTCTCCACCGAGATTTCTCAATATGAGATCTCTTGACTATACAGGGAAGGACATATAAAATACCTAGACTTCTATATCCAGATATATTGGAAATGCCAATTTTTTGTTACTGGTATTGAAACTAGCAAACTATGCAAGTATTCTCGCGCATCATGTGACTGCCATGAATTCACTTTTCAATCCTTGCTTTCATGTTCCATGCAATAAAAAGATACATATGATTTACAGGCGATATACTCCATTAATGTGAAATTAGGGCGTAGCACACAAATAGCCTGTATTGGCTGTCTCACTACTACTACTGGTGGACTCCGCTACATATTTCGTCAACATTTTTAATCAAAACATGAAGCAAAATAATGACCATTTGGTTCAAAAATAACAAAAAAATTATAAAAAAAACATACAATGTGCAAATTGTTGAATCGATATTTTGACAAAAAATGTAGTGTGTAAAAAGGAGCCTGGCAACCCCTGGGCATTGCACCATGGCATTGTCTCTGCAAGTCATTGTTTTTGTTTCTCATGATTCAAATCAAATCCTGTGATATTAATGAGATGCACAATAGAGAAATAAAATGTTTTGTATTTTTCAGTTTGAAGGTGGTCTTAGCGTGACCTCTCTGTTTATTGATGGAGCATACAAACTGGCAAACAGAGCAAAGAAACCACCAACAATCACAGAGGTAAGTCATCTTGATCACCATGGATGATAACTATCTTTAGCAAGTCAAATGTGACAGAAACAGAAAATTTACAAACCAGAAATTTAAAACTTGTGAATAAACAAACCTATCTGCCAAGATATCGTTGAAAATGAGAAAGCCACAAGCCTTGTTTTATGCTTCCCTCGTAATGTTTTATTCTCCCCCTTATGTTACCATGGTATTTAGAACAGTGAACCAGATGAGAGAAAATAGAACTTTATTTGAAGTGTAAAACTAAGTCTTGACTCTCACTCTCAAAGAGTTCTTGGCAACCATTTGCATCTTGCAATTATCACTGTAAGACGCATCTCTGAATCGGCCCCACCCCCCTATCTTGGTCAGTCAAGTCAGACTTGGGATATTCAGGGATGTTGCGTCCACAGTAAGTTTAGGAAGTTGTGACTTCAGTCTGATGTACGTAGAGGTTTATATCGCTTTAAATCCAATCATCCAGAGTTACGTCTAACAAATGACCTTGAATTTTTTTTTGACCGAGTGTTGTTTTGAAGTGCGTAATGCGCGATGTGACTAGAACATTGGAGTTTGTATGTCCGTACTTCTGACAAAAGTACCGCTTTACTGTGACAGTCAGGTCTTTTTCACTAAATGCTGTGTTTATAATCGTGGCATTTCCACAAAAAGTCCATCAAAAGGCATGTTATCTGCATTTTACCTCTTCACACGGTAGCTTCGATTAGTGAGTTACTGTGTAGTATAGAATGCTATAATAAATGCTTCTCTCTCCACCGAGATTTCTCAAAATGAGATCTCTTGACTATATAGAGAAGAACATGCAACAAAAATGAATGCATACAAAAATATAACAGTTCACAATATATTGTAGTAAACATAGGAAAGTGAACTTACAACACTTGAAATTAGATTTTTGTAATGTCTTTCAGTTTGACTAAAGGACCATACATTCATACATAGTATTCTATTTACAGGATAAAGTTGTAATGTTGGCAAACTATATATTGAGCCGAAAGCACACTCAGAGTAACAAGAACGGTTATTATGTCGTGGCAGCCTTGCGCACACTTTCAGAAAATCAGGTAGGATATTTGCATAATATGCATATTCATATCTTAATAACCAATAAACACATTAGGACACTTTGCTATGCTTTATTAGGGTTTGTATCATGTGGTCGTGGCATAGTTTACTAAGCTAGTGAATCATTGTAAAATTGAAAATCCGTATTCAGTGGTGATCCTCTCCCTCCATCTGTGCCTTTTCCACAGCCAACCTAATTATATCGTATTTAAACTGACATTCCACATTCTCTCCTAACCATATCTCTATCATTTCTTCTGTACATCTTTGACCATGTCTGATACAGAGTTTGGTAAGTGGTTCCCTGCATGTCATGTTGTATAGATATATGTGCTGTGGTTTCCTGTATGTCGTGTTGTATCGATGTGTGTGCTCTGATTTCTGCCATGATTATTTGTTTTCTCTGTGCTCTGATTTCTGCCATAATGTTTTCTCTGTGCTGGCCTGTCTAGATACCCAGTGATGTGGTGATTATATTCAAGCCAATTACCAACTACAAAGTGATACATTGTGCTGTAAATTCTATTGACTTGTAGGCAAAATTGTAGTCCCTTCCATCACTGAGTATGTGGCTGAGTGTTTACCAGGACTTGTTTCTGTCTTGTGACTGTAAAAGTTTATCTGGAGAACAAAGTTTATTAATATAGTATATCGCCCTCTGGAGGCGTGTTTTGACTTTCTAGCTTTGAATTTTTGGATACTCTTACAAATTATCAAAATTCACCTTTAATCAAGTTTAAGCATTTCATGTAGCCCTACACACTCCATTGTCTCACATGAAAGCCAACTTAGAATTTGTTTTCATAAAATTAATAGCACGTTGACAGCCAGATAAATTCCTCACATACATCATGGGCAATATTTGGTTCAAGTTTTAGATAGCGTGCAAATTTCAAACATTAACAGCAAGTTGATAAGGTAATTTTCTGTCAGACTAATTGGAGACAATAGCACGAGAGGTGTCCTGCATGGTTTTATTGAACCATCTCATCACATCTCAGGTCAGGTTAAGAGGTTTGCATCAGACTCAAAAAAACATGTGATTATTGCTTGAGTGGTTCATTATAAGCACAGTGCTAAAGTTTCAGATTCAAAGTTTGGTTTAAGTATCTTGATGCTTCGTTGTATTTCAGTAATTTTTGGAACATGTCTGTACTGTTTTTGTATAAATTAAG